ATTTACGTATTGGAAAAAATAAATATGGCAGCTGGGTAGGAACGTGCATGCGTATGCATAATGCAGGTGTAAAAACTTAAGGTTTGGGAAATGCAAGCACATAAAGTCGGCTCTACTTTTGCCTTTTTTTGTTTATGTTAGCGATGGTAGACAAGAAACTAAGACTTGCACGAAATGATCCTAATATTTTCTTCTTTGCTCGGGTATATCTTGTTGTCTTATTCTGAATTTCTGTCACAATCGGTGATGTTTTGTATCCGGGTTAACTTGATCGACCTATATGTTGTTGGGACCTAATGACACCTTTTTACCTAAGAAAATGATCAAGATATATACTATATATTAATCTACTTTTCCTGTCTATTGGTATATTATCGGTTTCCTTAAAAAAAGACTAATCTTATCATGGTACATACCTTTGGCACCATTCACCGCCCTTAAGTGGTGATGTAAAATATAAATGTGATGATTTCTGATACAAGTGATATTCTACTTTCAAGGAAGGGAAGGAGGGAGGAGGATTGTGTCATGTCACACAATGGGCCAACCACTAATTAGGCTGTAGTACTAGTTCGTTAGTGATGGTAATACTTACCACCATATTAACTAATGATGATGAATATAAATTTCGAGATTTGTGTAGCACACAAATGAAATGACATTCATCCAACAACAATAGTTAATATGGTGGTAATGCTCATTATCGCTCAAGGGTGGTGAGCAAACACTCTCCCTAAATTTTTCCAAACTTTTAAGCTTTTTTAATTTATTTATGGATAACACTTTTGTTCTCCCTTTGGGGAATGAGCTCATTCCCATACTTTCAAAGAGCGTATCTTCATTGTAGGAATTTTATAATCAGAACCATTCAATTTCTGAAAATTCATTTGAAGATCATCCTACAAAACTCATTGGAACCGAACTTGCTTTAGTCACTCAAATATATCAAATAATTGGATGATTCATCGTGAATATGTTTCTTCGTCACTTCACCGATAATTTATTTAATACATTGGATGACTAAATAAACTTATATTCGAATTATCTTTTATAGAGATGATCTTCAAATGAATCTTAAAGAATTAAACAGTATCAATTATAAAAAAATTTATGATAAAAATACATTGTTTGCAAATGAGAAAACAAGTTCATCTCCAAAAGAGAAATGTAAGCATCAACCACTTTTATATATTTATTTATGGAATATGCCTTAAGGGCCCCTAGCCTCTTCACATATGAGTCAAAGAGCCTTGTAGTCAAACTTGGAGGAAACAATTTAAAATGTGGGGTTATGCCAGCCTTTAGACTCTAAACCTTTAAAATCCAAAATGGGTTTTCTTTTTGTTGAGCAAACGTAGCTCGATACATTTAATGCTTGAAATATGTTTTCTTCACACCTCCTTGTAGGTGGCATATAGTTGGTAAAATCACTCAACAATTACACATTATTGGAAGAAAATAAAAAAACTCATCCAGAGTTCCTATTTTCTTATTTCAATTGTGAATTTCTATTGTAAAACATGGGGCATTGAGTTTCCTCTACATCCTCCTGCCACTGAAGAAGGTCACATCATACCAGTGGTGAAGCCAGGAATTGACTAGGAGAGAGGCGAAGTCAAGTAGTGTCTACGAAACGGCGCCGTTTCAATTATTTTTTTCATTTTCTTTTCCATGACCAAAACAACGTTGTTTTGGCCTAGATGATTTAAAAAATAAAAAATAAAAAAACGTATTCTGCTACTACGCGCAGCAGAACCCACACATCATCAGACCGCGGGGGAGCTCTGAACCACTGAACCCAGTGGCGGATCCAGGATTGTAAGACTAGGTGGTCCAAATCTAAAGTTCCAAAAATTATTAGACGAAAAATAATATTGAAAAATTAAACAATAAACAACTTTTCATTCACAATCTTCGTACACAACATTACAAATTAGAAAGACTAAATGTGTCCCCAACGAGATTTCATACTAAAAAATGCGTCATGATAGATTTATTGTCAACTAGAGCAAAAACATCCGTATATGATTGAAACCATCCAATATTGAAATTGAACTATTTGATCTGTGGACACTGGAGATGAGACTAGTGTTGTGTTAGTGGGTGGCCTTCGGTGGGGTGGGGTGGGGATAAGGAATGGTTCTCTGTTTCAAATTTGAACCATTTTGTTTTTGTTTTTTCAAAAAAAAAAAAAAATTGTGAAAACTATATATTAAAGAAGTGCACCAAACGCACCGTTTTACTAAAGTGTGTTTTCAAACCCGAGCCCTATGTAAAACACACTGTTTTACTTAAATGATAAATAGTCTTCTTCTTCCTTCTTCTAATTTGCAGAACACCAGAACTCTGTAGCCCCGCTCCTCTTATCCTCCACCTTGTGCCCAGACTTAGGGTGGTCCTTGGAGGTCCTTATAGCATATTATCTGGACTTTCGGTGGTCCCAGGACTACCTAGGTCTCTTAATAGATCCACCCCTGACTGAACCAGTGGGTTTTCCAACGAAAGGAGGGGCGGACCCAGAAATCCAATCCTGTTTTCCGATGAGGAGAATGGCGGCCGCCACTCCTCGCCCTCACATGGCTTCGCCACTGCATCGTACCAGCTAAATCCATAATAGTAATTGTTGAAAATTTAATATTATAATATAAAATATTGTAATATATATTTAATAATTGAATGAAAAATATTGTTTATCATATTTTTTAGAAAGGTTATGTTATTTAGGTGCATTTCCTTGTCAAATGATGTAGACTTATAGATGAAATGTTACATCTCTTTAACAAGAAGTACTTGGATTCTATATAAACTCATGAAACCATTATCATTAAGAATAGAAAATTAGAGTTAAATTTTACTCTTGAGAGATAGGGTTTCCCCACTCTATTTCTCTCATTCTTCGTTTGTCAAATTTCAAGTCATGTTTTGAGAGTACGGAATATATAAAGTTTGCCAAAGTTTGAAGATTGAGTGCTTTGACTTCAAATTATAAATTATTGAATCCTAGGAGACGGACGCCTATCGAATTACAAGCACAACAGCAAGCGAAATTTGTCTTTAGGACATTGCATTTATGCAAGCCTCAATCTCCAAGTTTGTTAGTACTTCTAACTTTCTCTTTTGTTGTTTATATTAATCTCATACATAATTGATGTTGTGAATTTCTTTATGATTATTATTATTGTAATTCATGCGTTATTTTCATATGTTCTAATATTGCTCCAACAATCTAAAGACAGAAACTTTATGGAACAATTAGAAGATATGGATGTGAGAAATCTCATAATGTAGAAAAATTGACATCATAAGATATTGAATGAGTCTAGCCATCATTTGGAAGAAAGAAACACTTCTCTAATATATTTGCACACAAGTTCCTAAGATCGATGTACACACACACACACACACACACACACACACACACACATATATATATGTATGTATGTATGTATGTATGTATGTATGTTGATATAAATACATTTGGAGAAAAGGTAGTTATGATTCTATGTGGCTTCCTTTTATTGATCTGGTTTAAGACACACAGTTAGATAAACATATATGATACTTGTTGTGTCAATTTTGTCTACATTAGATTCAAGATTAAATACTTGAGTTTCAGAATGAATGGAAATTGTCTGGAATTAAACTTTGAAATTATAATTACTATGCATTTTCCCTTTTTGAGTTTGCCTTTAAGGCGCTCTTTTGATAGGATTTGCCTACGGATGCGAGTTTGGTATTTAATTTTTTTTACTAAACACATTCATGAAAAGGAATTCGGTGCTTTTGACCAATCAAAATGTCATCTCTTGTAATGAGTAATTGTTTAATGTATGACAAGGTTAGAGACCAACTTACAAATACCTTAAATGCGGGGGAAGTCTACTTCCTAGTGTTAGCAAATTACCTACAAAAGTCCCAACATATATATACTTTTGAAGACTTAAAATTCAGAAACAACTACTCTCATATGAAATATAATTTCATAAGATAGATTGTGCACACCATTAAAGATAGTCAACCTTAGTGGTACCAATTATTAAAGGTTTGACTAGAGAGTAAGTTGATCATCGAGGGGAATGAGGCTAAAGCCAACATAACTAATGAATCAGCCGGGAGGAAACCTAACTTAGTAGATTGGAGATCCCATGGTCTAAGTTCAATAGGCAAACTGGTTGGGTATCATTCAAAGAAGTTAACACACTATATACCTCATTCCTATGGTGGAAGAAGTGTGTTGTCTATAGAAGTTTTAGGATGTATATTTATACTTAATGATAGTGATATCTTATAAATAAGAGGAATAGAGCAAACTATTCTTAATCAGTGGTCACCTATGTGAGTGTAGAAGTTGGTCGCTTTTATGAGTATGAAACGACTAAATTTTATAAAGCTCTTATGAATCCGGGATTTGTTCAAGACCAAAATGAGCCTAACCATATGAACAGTAATATATTAGGATTAGTGATGTGTGTTGCTTATTGTCTTGGTTTAATACTGCGGTGAACAGTTCAAGATCTTTCACATCCACTACGTCACCAAGTAAACCCGATAAGTATTCACTAGGGTAAGCTCAAGTCCAAAAGACACCTCTCCCAATGCATTTCTTGTCCGCTTGTTTTCTCAAATTCTTCCTGATTTTTCATTCATGTTGGGGATTGTTGGAAATTGTATATTATAATATAAAATATTGTAATATAGAATTTTAATAATTGAATGAAAAATCATGTTAACCATATTTCTTAGAAAGGTTATGTTATTTAGGTGCATTTCCTTGTCAAATGATGTAGACTTATAGATGAAAAGTTACATCTCCTTAACAAAAAGTACTTGGATTCTATATAAACTCATGAAACCATTATCATTAAGAATAGAAAATTAGAGTTAATTTTTACTCTTGAGAAATAGGGCTTCCCCACTCTATTTCTCTCATTCTTCGATTGTCAAATTTCGAGTCGTGTTTTGAGAGTACGGAATATATAAAGTTCGCCAGAGTCCGAAGATTGAAGTTGTAACGACTCGTCCCGGATTGTACGAAATGTCGAGGGCCATTTTGTAATTTCACTTTGACTGGGGTATTTATTTTAAATGTTTGCTTTTTGGTCATGTTTGGTGTGCCATGTAGGGCCCACCCCTGTTTTTAGTCCCCGGTTCCCTCTCTCTTTTTCCCTATTTTCTCTCATTTCTCTCCCCGTAAGCCCTCACTCTCAAACTCTCTCATGGCTAACCCTTTCTCATCTCTCTCTGCTATTCTCTCCCTTTCTCCGAGCAACAACCACACATACTAGACCACCACCATAAGACCTTCCTAGTCACGATCTCAAACTCAGGCCAAGATCATGGAGTCTCGATGGCCCGACAGTGGCTATGCCATTGTTCATTACCTTCTCCGACGAGTTTCTCGACTTCTCGACTTGGGGTAAGCTTCGAGACGCTTAAGATCCTTTCTCTTTCGTCATGGTGGTTTATTTATAACCTAGATTTTGCTTTTTAAACGTTGCAATTGTACATGAACAAAGAATGTAAGAAATCCAGTTTTTTTATGAAAACCCATGAGATTTGTAGGCATTTTCCTGTCACTTTCCGGCCACAGCTGGACCAAATATTGGTATATTTATATGCCCTTCCTCCGTAGCTTCAAATCCATATATATGGCATGCTGGTGGTAGTTGTGAAATGGAGCTAGTCGAACTCCATATTGTTTCCCTGCCAAATTTACAGAATCCGACCAACCCATGGCCTGAAACCAGGTCGACCCGACCCGCAACCCAGACCAGACCCGTCCCAAAACCCTGTTCCAACCCAACCTGAACCCAGATGGAATATTCCGTTGGGGAATATTTCGTTGGGGAAAATTCTCTAGAATATTCCCTAGAATATTTTTATTGACTTTTTGTTGACTTTTATGAAATTTTCCCAAGGTCCCCCCTTAAGTTTTTTGACATCCTTAATCCATTTACGATGTCTGTTTTCCTAAATTCAATCATTTTAGTAGAGTTTTATTAATTGGTCCCTTTATGTGCTTAAGTGAGTTGTTAGTGGCGTTTCCATCTTCTCTAGTTTGCACGACTCTTCGACAACGGAGTATTTGGGAGTGGATCCCTTCCAAAATGCATGATTATATTATTAGAAATGCATACATGAAAAACATGATTTCATGACTACGTTTTATGAAACGTTTATGAGTAAATCGGATTTACACTTTATGAAATATCATGCTTTATCGAATTTATGTTTACTGAGGTATTCATGAACATGGATTTATGATATGATGTTTGAGCTATTGAGCTCTGATGACATATATTTTGAAAAGATTATGTTCATAATTTTATGTGACTACTTAATGGTTATTCATACTATGTGCTTATGGGCAAATGATATTTATATATAGCTTTGGTTGGATGATGTAGTTGCTTCGATCAGAAGATATTTATATATGGCTTCGGTCAGGCAATGTAATGGCTTCGGTCGGAAGATAATTATATATGGCTTTGGTCGGGCGATGTAGTGGCTTCAGTTGGAAGATATTTATATATTGCTTCAATCGAGCAATGTAGGGCCTTCAGGCAATTGTGAAGCCATTACTAAGCGTTTATATATGATATATGTTTTACAAAGGTTTTATGGCATGCTAAGGTTTTTGGAAAAACCTATTACTTATTATGCTATATGAGTTTTCTAACTAGGGCTTAGTACGTTGAAGAACAACTATTTTAGTATTACATATATATAAACTTGGTCCACTAATGTTTTGTTTTGCGCCCCCTCCAAGACTTAGAATCGAGGCGTACAATCCCGGCATCAAGGCACTCCCGCATGGGTATCTTCGAGTCCTCTCAGTATAGGACCCATTCGTTTGCTTGTAACTTTTCATAATATTCCTTCTACAGTATTCTTAATTAGTTGTATGATATGAATACGTTCCCACAATTGCATATGCATATTAGTTAAATTTACATGTTTTTATTTATGTTCGTTCTTTCTTCATAACTTTCATGCATGTTAATATGGCTTCTTCACCCACGGGTGTCGGCCATCACGTGCTTGCCTTGGTGTTTAGAGGATATCGGGGTCGGGCGTGTCAATTTGGTATTAAAGCATGGTTTGTTGAGAGCATACTTAGGATCGCCTCTTACTCTTGTAGTTGTCGGCCTTGATATCATTTGAATTGCCACACCCTTATCTGAAGTATAAAATTCATTTTGGGATTGTGTCGCTTCAGCGATCTAACTGATTAATGGATGACTTTCAACAACGAACCGATACTCTACAACATGCATTCCCTAGGAATGGCAGGCAGAGTCAGATTTACATTAAAGTGGCATGAAATAGAAAGAAAGAAAGAAATCTCAATAAGAGGAAGTCTGGTTAAAACCAGTTGAAGATCTGAAATGGTGATGTTACTCTACAACATGCGTTTCCTAGGAATGGCGAGCAGAGTCATATCTATATAGAGATTACTTGAAACATCCAAAGTTCATGTTAGAGAAAGTAAGGAAACATCAGTTGTAAGCGTAGTTTAGCAAGTGTTAGTTTGGTGGTATCGAATCAATGTCCTCAAGCTTGTTGTTTCTGCTGAGGGAATTCGTATGGACCCTCATGAGGTAGTTCTTAATGATTCTTTGAGCTTAGCGTTATTTCATTTTTGGATTAGTCAATTTTGTTTGAGATGTTGAAGGTGAATGAAGTTTCTAAGAACGAAATTATAGTCTCATTTGATCCTTGTTCTTACACTTTCCAATGACATCGATAAATTTCAAATTCTACGGTGATGTTTTATTGAATGTTTGGCTATACACTGATGCAACAAGATTGAGTAACGCGTGTGCTTCTTGACAGTTAGAACCGCATGAAGTGAACCATCTTATCTACGACCTTGAGCCAATGGTTACCATATTACTTGAAACCCTAATGACACATTTTCTTTGTAGAAATTTATGTGGGACGAAGGTTGGGAACAAAACTTTTGGAGTTTGGAACATCGTCTTACTCATGCTTCCATCCTTGCTTTTCTTGACGTTGGTGGTGAGTTTTATGTCTCTTGTTTTGCATCCTTGTCACGTTGGGGTTATTTTCTGATGTAGCATGGCAAGGTCATCGCCTATGCTCCCAGACATCTCAAACCTCACGAAAAGAATTATCCTATTCATGGTCTAGAGCTGGTAACAATTTCCCTTACTGTAACATCTGGCGACGTTTTCTCTACAGCAAGAAGTGTTGCATCATTTTTTACCAAAGAAGTTGTAGTGTGTCTTCACACAGAATGGTGTTTGGAGGATACCACTCGAGTTGAGTCTACGCTTGACCATCTCAACTTGCCACCATAGAATCAAATTAGGTACTCACATGTGTTTTTGCATCAAAATTACGCATTTAATCCAGTTATCTTGTACTCTAGATTTGATGGACTTGTTTTAACCCTTAAATTCTTGAGTGTTCTTTTAGCCTTCTCGACATAGCTTTTCGCTAAATTCGAGAGATTTTCAATGAATCAACTCACTTAGGCTTTGTGAATCACATTGTTCAGTTTTAGGGTGTGCCGTCACTATTGTACCTCATCGGGATTCGCGTCTCACTTCCAAGTCGTGTGAAGCCTTTTGGAAAGCCATGGTACTAAGTTGTTATCCAGTACCACATTTTATTCTCAGACTGTTGACCAGTCTGAATGAACAATCCAAACCTTGGAAGACGTGTTGTGTTCATCCATTCTGTGGTTTCTGCGTGATTAGAAATTGCACCGATCTCTTTTGGAGTTGTTACGACGACAGTTATTATTTTCAATTTGGGTATGGTACTACTTGAGACATGTATGAAAGATTCTACAGGCAACACTTGCTAGACAAAAGAGTATTGCAAACTGGTATTCAAATGATCAAATTTTTGATATGGGAAACTGTGTGCTTCAGATGATGTCGCCTTGGGGTTTAGACAAAATGGTAATTTTGTACCCTCGGGAGTTACTACTTGTTTATCGAGACAACAATGTGTTGTCGATGTTGCGGACTGTAGATTGTAATATTGATGGTTTATTCGTTTGGTTCGTTAAGCAAATGGGCAGGTAGACCCGTCTACGGTAGTAGTTACGAATTAATTATTGTTTGGGCTCAACTCAAAGATACACACATCTATTATCGGAGTACGTGACATTACAAATGCTTGGGCGAGGCCCATTTTCATTTTCGATTTTAATTTTCAGTGCAAATATTTTAACTTACATTATTATAGTTATGTATTTGTATTTTTGACATTACAAATGTTTGGATGAGTCATTTCCAATTTCAATTTTAAATTCGGTACAAGTTTTTGGCTTCTATGTTAGTACATATCTATTTTGACGTTATCTCATTATGCGAACATGCTTTTGACCTTACGTTATTATATATTTTTTCGACTTTATATTTTTATATAGTTTTGATACTACTATTATACTGATGGGGGAAGAAAGTACGAGTTTAAAGGCATGAAAAAGGAATCATTGCAACCTGATCGCAACGGGGTGGCACTCTCTTTTATGCAATCACTCTGACTTGATTTCTTCTTTATATATATTCTTCTTCCTATCTTCGAGTATTTATGTATAGCAAATTATTTCAAATTTTAGGGATGAAATTTTCTTAACGGGGGTAGATTGTAACGACCCGTCCTAGATTTTACAAAACATTGAGGGCAATTTTGTAATTTCACTTTGGCTAGGGTATGTATTTTAAATGTTTGCTTTTTGGCCTTGTTTGGTGTGGTATGTGGGTCCACCCCTATTTTTGGTCCACGGTTCCCTCTCTCGTTTTCCCTTTATTTTCTCCTTTCTCTCCCCGTAAGCCCTCACTCTCAAACTCTCTCATGGTTAACTCTTTCACATCTCTCTCTGCTATTCTTTCCCTTTCTCCAAGCAACAACCACACACACTAGACCACCACCTTAAGACTTTCCCTGTAACGCCTTGCCCTGCCAATTTTTTTTTTCGGAAATACATTTAATGGTAGTCCAAAAAAAATGTCATTGTTACCCTTTAGGTTAACAACCATTCTAACTTTTCTTTCTTTGATGATTTTCCACTAAAATTTAATCTCGATTATTTTATGGTTGCATCTAACTTCTCGTTAGACTGCCTAAGTACCCTTTGGAGGGATCAAGTCATTCATAGTTCACAATTCATATTTAATTCATTTCCGAAAATATTCAGGTCATTTTCTAACCAATGTAGGCCCACTAAACTTCACTTAGTCTCCTGTAGTACTAATTTTAGTATTTAGAACGTTTGAGACATGTTGACCAAAAGTCAACTCTCAGTTATTGGTAGGGTCCTCAACTCTCTGTAATTCGATCCAGAAGATCTGCACATCAGATTTTGGATCCGTAACTTCCAAGGGTCCTCAATATGATCATAGAACATCATACTAAAATCTTACCATGATTTGAGGG